TTATATAAGCGATTTTATTTTTTGCTAGAATATGATATAAATTACATGAATTGTATATAATTTTATTTTACGACACGCAAACACTAATCAATTCCATTATTATTTTCAATGTTCTGAACATTTAATAATCTTATGAAATTATAATAGAACAAGATAAATATCTGCCTGGACTTTGGAAAAGGGGAGACGAAAGAAATGGATAAAATGTAGAAAGAGAGAGTACAATTAAAACAAGACTTATTATTACTTATAGGATCAAGCGCGATCGATGATTTCTTATCGAGAAGCGTTCATGCGATATAGAGTTAGTCGATTTAATTCGAATCTGTTATCATTCTAATCCCTTCTATCGAGACTCCATTATTTCTGAGCTTGCCTCCATTGTGAATGATATGCTTGTGACGTGCCCTGTTTCATTTGCGTCGCGAGATGAAATGTTGCGTGCACGGAAACAACTACATCGAAAAAGAGAAAGAGTAGAGAGAGAGAGAGAGAGAGAGAGAGAGAGAGAGAGAGAGAGAGAGAGAGAGAGAGTGTATGTGTTGTGTGTGTGTGACTCTACATTTGTTCTCTTATTTACAGAATGGAGAGTCGCCGCAGTATGTGACGGACAGACTTCGGCAATTCTCGGATCCTTTGGCAAGGTTTCAACCAATTAACGGTGAGTGGTATTACTCGCATTCCACCTTGCGTACGGTTGCTTACAAATTTAGGTTCTCGGGGGAAGGTACTTAAGGCCACAGACTTTTGCATAACGCAATGTATGAGCGAATCAATCAATCAGAATACTTTCTTTGCTTTTATTTCATAGAAAAAAAGAATTTTGATTGGTTGAGACGCTTTGTGCGTTATGCAAAACTCTGTACTTTACTACGGCCTTTAACGCCGAGACATCCGCCTGCTCTTTCTTATTCCCTTACACCTCTTTCAGCAACCGTAACTAGAATTGTATGTCCATATGTACGTGAATTACATAACAAAGAAATGGTACCGATTATTGCAATGATAATTTTGTTCCTTTAATAATACTGTGACAGTGGCGAAAATATTTATGATAACCACTTCAAATTTGAATATTGCAATAAATATGGTATTAATAAAAAAATTGAATATTACATTTAAATATTGCGATTAAATATTAATCTGTTATATGAAGTTTACGTAGAAAAAAAATAAACATTTTTAATTTATCTTTATCTTTTTATTTGTGTACTTTGACTGCGTTCAAAGAACGCGCAATCAGCGCTTTTATGTCGTTCTATCTTTATTGTTTATTATATGTAAAACAACAGTAGAATGATGTAATAGCGTTGATAGCGTGGTTCGCAAATGCAGCCTTTGTAATAAAAAAACTTTAAAAAATTTTTTTTATTTTTACTGAATGTTTTGCCGATGTTACATTTCGTTACTGGAAGTTTCTGGTAATTATATATAATACTGCAGTTAAAAGGAAAAATTCATCACCATTATTATTTATTAAATTAGAAAAGCTGTTATAAATTAAAGAAGGACTTAATTTGCGTACGTTCTTCTTTATCAATTGTTTGATCCTTAAATTATGTCTCATATGTTAGATTACGTCTCTATTATTATGGAGCACATATGGCACAGAAAGATTGTTAGAAAAAGATCGTATGGTATCTTTTCTGCGGCACGTATTCCTTTGCAGAAGAAACAGCGAAATGATTAGTGCACCGTGTGTCCGTAGTCTCGCAAATTCTCGTCGCTCATGACTCGTTCTGTCACGCAAAAAATCATCAACATCTGCATCGCATAAGGCAACATTAGTACACAAGTCGTTATGCAGCCTCACGATTGAAGAACCCATAAGATCAAATTTGCGTTGTCTCACGTGCACATTGAATAAAAATAGATCATATTTCCGTAAAAATATGTGGATAAGTGTAACTTTTTGGTACATATACGTGATGCTTTAGACAATCATATACTATGTTCTTTTTTTAAAACAGATTCAAAAACAAGATCAGAATTACTTTTCATTGAATAAAACTTTAATGGAAACATTGTATTTATCGCAAATTTTTGATATTTCTTCTATTTTAATTAATTGATGAATTATATAACTTTTAAATTGCATCTGTAATGATATGTAAATTAAATTAAATTTGTTTTTAAGAATTGAAAAGTATTATGTAAAAATCTAAATTAAATTCGAGAAATCAAAACTTTATGGCAAATTGTTAATTTAAGAAACGCATATTGCATTGCAGATTTTTCAAGACTATTTAAATTGTAATTATAAGTAATCTTGAAAGTAATAATATTTATTCAGAATAAATAATATTATCAAATTGATAACTTTACATATTGTATATCGCTCTCTCTAAGAATAAGACACAACTTATATAAAACGTGATTTTCGAGTTATTGTCGTGAGTGAGTTAGATAAACATTACTCTGTCAATTATCAAAGGAAAACTGACAAAAAAAAATCATCAAAATATTATAACTCAAAGAGAATGATTTAAAAAAAATTGTCACAATTAGTCAAAAAAAGGGATAACTTTTTAAAAGAATTGTGAATAACAAAAATGACATTTGATCACACATGTTAAGAATATATTTTCTTTTTACCAATTATATTTGATTGGTGAATAATTTTTTGTTCAAAAAAAATAATTTTTTCCCTTTTCTAGGAAACTCAATTTTTCTAGTCTTTTTTGAAGTAATGTGGAGCCATATGGAAACCATAAATCTCTATCATACAATGAAATCAAAGGTATTGTCGGCGGTTATAAGTCAGATACAAAAATAATATCTTATATCGTCACAATTGGTCGCGTAAACTCATCTAAAATAGTTTAACGGTGCGCAAACAGAAGCGATAAGATTCAGTTGCGACCGAAACTTCCATCGTTTCCGTTTTCAAACTGCTGCCTCGTCGTAGTTACTCGGGGAGCATTTCCAGAGCGAAGGCGACAGCCTGTCCGAATATTATCGTTAGAATCGTACGTGTCGCGTAATCTTCGGGAGCAGAGAGGTACATACCGACGCGCGTCTTACAAAGTAAACCGACACGGATGATTTAAAATGGCGGGTCACTTGAACGCACCTCGGCAGGTATTTTTAAGCAGATTAATGTTGGACACGAGACGGGGCATTAAACAGATCGGTATTAATGAGTTTTGTCATCCTTGAGTGACACCCGAGTCTCCGTTTGGTTACATTCGCCGCTATAGATAGCCCACCCATGCGCGCTTCTGTGGTGCAACATTTCTCCCCACGACCGTTCGCACGCTCGCGTGAGTAAAGACGATATATCGTGCCTACGAAAATCTTCGGATGTACGTAGAAACTAACGAGATTATCCGTCGCACTTGCTGTGCTAAAAGAGCAAGGCGAATTGGCTCACAGAATCTGGATAATCGGACAGAGTGTCATTTTATTGGCGTCGAATGTAAAGGCAAATTAAATAAAATGGGATAAGAGATAACGGAAAAGATTGTTTATACTGAGATTTGATAGGAAAGTATGTACTTAACAAAATCTTTGAATTTTCTCTTTACACCTGAAGAGACAATTTTGCATTATATATATATAACAAAATAATAGTAATTTTTTTTATTTCTCTCGTAAAAAAGATTTGAGAAGATTATTTTAATTGAATCGAAATGTTTCTGTAGATTTGATTTCTATTCTTTCTGTATCTTATTTAATACATCTCTTCTGTAGGATTTATTTTGTATATTCGTTGACGCAGAGTGGAATTTGATTCGTTCAACTTTTTGTCAATTACGAATAAAGAATTTTGATAATTATGGGATTTTTTGAGATTTTCAGCGTTTATTAATTTCTTGACACTGCAGATGTTACAGAATCTTTCACGTTTAGAGTGTAACATCTTTATATTTTTAAATTCATACCGATTCTTTATCAATTGTTTGATCCTTAAATTATGTCTCATATGTTAGATTACGTCTCTATTATTATGGAGCACATATGGCACAGAAAGATTGTTAGAAAAAGATCGATAATTTATTGCTTCTCGATAAAGTACTCAAGTTAAAGGCTTCTATATTGTCCGATTTCTAAAAACTTTATCTCGGCTTTGAAATTAAAAACTTGATTCCACTCGTATGCTTTAAATTTTATTAAAAGTTTGCACAACGCCCTGAAAGCGAAAGGGTTGAAAAAAATGCTTTGTCGCATCTGGTGCCTGCCCGCCCTTTCCGTGTCAGTAGTAAAACGTATACCGTGAATAAGCCTTGATACCATGAAGGCAATAACCTCCATCGAGCTAGTATTGCGAATCTTTATTTACGAAGATATTTTACAACAGACTGGCCATTTCCATTTTTACTTCGTTTATTTAACATAAAAAATATCAATAGGTATTTGTGTTTTGAAGGAATAAAATGATTCGGAGAAGAGCTTTTAGTGACTGAACGTAAAGGCATTTGAAGATTCAACAACACTCGTACAATGGATTCGGACAGGTACTTCATATCGACATGGAGACTATAAAAGCAATAAATCCAATATACCGTTATACTCGACTGTTTGGTTGGCTTTTTGATATCATACATATAAACTCACACTTTGCCGCGTGTGTGTACTAAATATTTGCTCTCTTAACTTCCTGATGTTCATCAGGCGAATGATAAATCTTTGGAGGCTTTGATATCAAACACACGTGCGATCAGTTTATAGTCTTATTTGAAATAGCAGAAAAAAATTATTTTCGTGATGAAAGTTAATCAATAATTTGAGCATATATAACATTTATTTATCATATTTATATTTAAATATATCATATACATATACAGGATGATTCATTTTAATCTCAACAGACAAATATTTTGAAAATATACAGTTTTACGAAAAACATTTCAAATAAAAGTTATATGAAAGGGGGATGTCACTATTGTACATCTTCCTTTATGTTATATAATTTTTGTTTGGTAAAATTGTATATTTATATTATATTTATGTTATATATATAATATATGTTGGACTGTGCATACACCATGTTTTCTCATTGCACATATTACATATATTTTATACTTTTTTTGCGTCACACAAGATGCAAGTGCATTTCTGAAACGCATTTCTTGCTAATATTCATTTTAGTGTTGAGCCTTTTGTGACATTCGATTCGATTAAGGAATTTAATAGAGTTGTGAAGCGATACAAAGATTTCATCTCACGATATTTCTGTCGATTATCTGTCGTTTGCTACCTATTTTCAACGTTTATCAATCACGCAATCTGCAATACGGAGCTGAGATTAATCCTCCTGTCAATAGCTTGCGGTCAGGTCGCTTTCCGACGATCGATCCTCTCGGCACACCAAGTTCTCGCGTGGTGCATGATGTACTATCCGCCTCCGTCCGTCTGCTTTTTCGAATGCTTCTTTCTCCGTCTTCTCTCGCTTCTCGACAATGCCACAAAGACGATGCGGCGTGATGCGTTTTGAGATAAATTATTCGGGAGGCAGGAGACCGCGTATTGGAGGGCGCGGCCCTATTTTCCGGTCGACCGCCTATGCAATTTCGATCGCTGGCACGCCAAGAGAGACTGCCTCGATGCCACCACAATGCGGCCTCGATCTTCGTAATTGACTTCCCATCCGAGGTCTCCTCTGACACTTCGTCAGCCCGTAAATGTTCGCATAAAAAGAGAAAAAAAGAAAAAAAATTATCACCCTGTCGATCGCGTCGAAAAGACGTGTGCCGTTGTCAATTTCCGTGAAATATGCGGCCCGTCTCTATTCATTGTTTCCCTTACCCTTATTCGACGAGATGGCATTTATTTCCAGGAATTATTGCGTTATCAAAACCAGAAGAGTATGAGAGAAATATAAAAAATTGTTGAATCGGAATTTAAACAAATTAGACCTTAACAGACGCGTTACAATACAAATAGGAGTACATTTAAGTTACACTTGTATAAAATTATATATATTGGGTTGGGGAAAAGTTTCTTCGTATTTTTTAATTCAGAATTGTGTATACAATATCTTCGTCAAAAATGAACAAAATTTAAATTAAAAAAAAGGATTTTGAAGCTTGAAATCTCTACTTTCGAAAGGTTACTATATTTTTTGTGAGTTTCTGTGAGTTTGGTAATTTTTACATTTAAAAAGCTACGAACTGAAAAAGACGAAAAATTTTCTTTTTACTTTGGGGGTCTTTCACGTGTTCAAAAAAAATTTACGAAAATTTTTGACTACCTATTGTGAAAGCTTAAAGCTTTCCCTATAAAATTATTTTTTAAAATGTTCCAATGTTGTTCAAATGATTTTTTGTTCCTGAGTTATTCGCGAGTTAAGTAAAGGAGCAATCTGACTTCTGAGATATATAAGACGAAATACAGAAAGAGTTTTTCTCATAACATTAATCAGTTATCTGTCAAGTCCTAAAACTCGTGGCTTCTTTCGTTTCCGATGTGTCCATTCTTATTCAACGTGAAGATATATTAAACCCGTTCTACAATTGCGTAAGCATTGCAAGTGGTTATAGTAGTAAGAATTGACTAATGATACGGTCGAATATAAGGAGAATATTCAACTGTAATTGATCAACTACAACCACTACAGTTATACGCTTACGCAATTGTAGAATGAATTTTAGTTTTCTTATAACTTTATAATTTTATTATTATCCCACTTGGAATGCTGTTCGACAGGCTTATTATGCGTAGCAAATTATAGAACCAATTTTTAATTTTATTATATGGAAGGATTAATATTCGCACGGAATTCACTTTACGCGATTACCTGATTCCGAATTGTAGTCGTTTAACGCGGAGATTGCTATCAATTTAATTTATCCTACTCTATTTTAATCTTAATCATAAAATATATCACAATAGCGATACCGGTCACTCATATGCGCCATTAAATCCTAACAAATTTATTTCTCGTCAGTAACAGTGTGTTTCTCAACACTCCGAAAGACATTCATTTACTACGCATCGTTAATCTGCTCGTAAACGCTGAATATTGCTCGTGTAAATGCCATTAGAGTTATCGTCATCAAGATCAAGAGGTGCACTCTGCCTACACTTAATGCAAAATGGAGCGAATATCGTTATGGGTTAGTTGATGAACTTTTACATTAATTGACTTTGCACGCCTCTCTCAAACTAAGATAACACACGTTAAATTATTAAATATAAATTAAAAAGTTGCATTAGAGAGACGTAGTGATGAACGTAGAATGTTTGTGAGAGAAAAGTCAAGATCCAAATCTAATTAAGGATGTATAATTAGAATATGCACGCAAATAAGTAGAATTTCCTGTATATCATCGAGCAAACGTCTACATATCACGCATGCAGGCGACTCTTAGGGTGGCGGTATGTCGAAGTAACCAGCGGACTCTTACATATGTTCTATATTAAATTATTGCGTTTATGCGACACTACCCTCATACTAGCGAAGATGGAACGAGAGAGCGAGAGAAAGTACGAGTAGGAAAAGCGTAAGAGACCGAAGAGCGGAGAGCCGACCGGTACTTGGACATTTATCCCCGCAGCTATTTCCGTGAGACACTTGTAATGTTTTCGTTTTTCCTCCGTGCCGAAAATGCGGCGGGATTAATTGGCCTACATTCTGAAAATAGATGAGCGCTACGACGTGCGTGTCACGCGTGTATATGAGCGTGCGAGTCAACATGCACGCGTTGACCAGCGTTTTTAACAGTTTGTTAAAAATCGTTATCGTGTACAATTGACTGATTTAATTAAATCTTAATTTTTGAGTCTGCTTGTGTATACAATAATGTAGCTAATTAATCTCTATTGATTCTGTATTCGTTGAAATATTTTGCTTTAGTGCAAAAGACACTATATAAAAAAAAAAGACACATTTATCCAAATTTGACTTTGTTTCGTTAATTTCTTCTTTTGCGTCGACAAAATTATAAAAAATACACTTTTTATAGTTATATATAAAAAAAAGTAGTCAATGAAACAAATAATTATTTTCTTTTAGAACTCAAAATCGAATTTATAATCGCATAAGATAATTTCTCATTTTACTATTTGGTTTCCATCCGAACAGTAGCAGAGTTGTATCACTGTCGACAAGTTGTCATGATATGGTTACTTCGGGTGTATGAATGCTTCAGCCATGCCAACTCGCATCACGTGCACTGTGTACATGCTTACTCTGTAACAGCTTGCGAAGAGATTCTCCCTCGATCAAATTATTTGCTCCGCAGAACGCTCGTATATGTGTAGCGTTTGTAACAAAAATAAAATTTATATTGAAACAATAAAATTATAACGTAAATTTATTGCTATGATATCAATCATATATATGATATTGATATATATATATA